ATCAGCGGTGCAGCGACCAGAACAGGTGCATTACTTCTGTTTTACTTGGCAATAGATCGTTTCTGTGGCATTTTGGGGTGGAGAGGATGACGTTGGAGACTTTGGTTGCTGTGCATTGAAGTTCAGTGAAGAATATGCAACTTCATTGATCTGAAAAGCATGAATAGCAATCAATTACATCAGTGTCAAGAGTCATACCTTCACTTGGCCTAGTGTGATTCAGCACCGGGTACTATCACCCCTTTGTAAATTTTCGTTTAGGAGAAGGGCTTTTGTTATTCATTATCTCTTGTTGAATAGTCATTAGAAGAGGTACATTACAGTATCCATACAATGGAAGACAATACAGGAAAAAAAATGAACAAACTACAAATACTCATCAGAATGTGAACGGATTTTCTGGAACATCATGTTGAATGAGAGAAACCAACACATAAAAGGATATATAGTATTTTTTCATTGATACGAGAGCAAAGACAGCAAAATGAATCTATAGAATTAGAAGTCAGAATAGTGGTGGGAAATAAGTTTGTAGCACATGAGTAGCACCAGCCATGGTGAAAGCAATTAAAGACTACAACCTTCAGTATGGATTACACCGTCGCATAAAGAAAACAAAACTCCTCACCAGGACGAACACATAACATCATCCTAAACAGAGGAAAAAATGGAAGTTATCAAGACTTTCATTTTACTTGGATCCATAATCAACAGCCATGGATCAACAACCAACAAATCAAATGCTGTATTGCATTAGGCAAATTTGCTGTAAAAAGACCTCTTTAGAGTGTTAAAAGCAAAAAGATAGTATTTTCAATTGCCTTATATGCATGTGAGAGCTGGACAATGAATAAAGAAGACCAGAGAAGTGATGCATTTGAATTAGGATGCTGGTGAAGAATACTAAATAAATCATGGACTCCCAGAAGAACAAACAAATCTGAAGTATAGCCAGAATGATCCTGAGACGTAAAGATGGTGACACTTTGCCTCACATACTTTGGAAATGGTGTTAGGAGAGACCAGTCCCAGGAGAAAGGCATCATGCTTGGTAAAGTGGGAGGGTCAGTTAAACGAGGAAGACCCACAATGAGATGGATTGACATAGTGGCTGCAATGTTAGTCTCAAGTACGGTACAAATTGTGCAGGTGCTGAAGGACCTAGGGGTGTATCTGTTTTACATAAGGTCACTCTGAATCAGAACCAACTTGACGACACCCAACAAGAACAGCAATCATTAAATCAATGGTAAGCCTAAGGAGCTCTGGTAGCGTAGTGGTTACGAATCGGGTTGCGAACCACAAAGTCAGCAGTTCGAAACTACCAGCTGTTCCTCGGTAGAAAGATGAGGTTTTCTGCTCCCATAAAGATTTACAGCCTTGGAAACCCTGTACAGGGTCGCTATGAGTTGGAACTGATTCCACAGCACTTAACAACAACAACGACAAGCCTTACCTGGCCTAGTGTGATTCAGCACAATTCATAATCACCGCTTTTAGTTTTGGAGAAGGACTTTCTATCTCTCCTCAATAAACTTCTATTGAGTGGTTTTTAGAAGAGCTATACTACAGTATCCATACAATGGCAGACAATTCAGTGAAGAGAATGAACAAACTACATATATCCACAACTATGGGAATGGATCTCACAGAATACCACGTTGAATGAAAGAAACCAGACACGTATAAGGATACAACATGTTCTTCATTTGCATGAGTGCAAAACCAACAAAACTAATCTAGAGAATTGTAAGAAGGATAATGGTTACTGTTGGGGCAGATGCTGCTTACGTGGATATGTTTATTTCATGAAAAGTGCATAAAGTGTGAAGGTATACTTATGCTTTAGGCACTTCTCAGTATATGTTGTTGTTAAGTGCCGTCAAGTTGGTTCCAATTTATAGCAACCATGCATAGGGTTTCTGAGGAGCGACTGGTGAGTTTGAACCACCGACCTTGCGGTTAGCGGTCCAGTGCTTATCCAACAGTGTGTCACACCAGCACTCCATGGATATGTGTGCTCTATGAAAAGATTAAAATTAGAAAAATTCTCTAAAATTATTATAAATGAACTAGGATCTCCGAGTGTCCTTTATGATGTGAATTATTCCTTTGACAGCAACATCAGGGTGAGACTGAAAGTGGAGAAGGGAGAATTATTTAGTGTCTTCTTTGTGATGGGCAGTGTGCTGGATGCTGGACATATTTTGTCTAATTCCTTCAACTTTCCTTTTATGTAGGTAGAAAACCCATTTTACTGATGACAAAGCCGAGGCCAAAGAGGTTAAATTATTTGCTCAAAGTCACAGAGATACTAAGAGTCACAGCCAGAATTCAAACACAAGGTGGGGATAATTCTAAAGTCCAACTTCTTGCTATGAGGTTGAATCATAAGTATAATTGTTGTTAAGTGCTGTTGAGTCTGTTCTGACTCATAGCGACCCTCCCTGTATAGGGTTTCCAAGGAGTGGCTGGTGAGTTTGAACTGCTGACTTTGTGGTTCAAAGTGACTTTGCAGCCTCGTGCTTTATCCCACAGCGCCACATCAAGACTCCATGAGCATAATTAGCTAACTTATTTGTGGTTACACTGAGGAACTTTGACCCAAGCTTGCTCTTACAGTTGTATCTTCAAGAATAACTCATTCTAGAGTTTTGGCTTAGGGGCAAAAAAAAATTTGGAAAAGGATAGAGAGAATGATTATAGAACTTGAAGAATGTAATCAATGTTAACGAATTTTAACATGTACAAATTGTTGATCTGGTATATGAGGGGGCGCGTGAGTCCTCAAAAAGTTCATGGAAAAATTGAATGAAAGGGTAATGGAAATTTCCCATGAAATTTTTGAGGCCCTCTCGTATGCTTTGTGATGTCTATTTTGAACACACAAACAGATGAAGTCATTTCGTATAGAGATATTTCCATGAGAAAGTGAGCCAGTTCAACTACTTATGCTTACCGTGTTAGGTGAAGTATCGTCCTGACCTGGGGAAGGAAAAATAGAATTTCAAATCCATGACAATACAAAGTTGACTTACAACCTGAGAACAGTAGATATTTCTAGGCTGTTGTGAATTCTAGCCAAAGAAGGGAGTAGGTGGTGGTGGCCCCAAATCAGTTAGGAATGCCGCTTTCCTCAGAGTCTGTGGTCCAGCAGGGTTAGTACCAAAGGAGGGGCAGGAATAGAGTCCCAGGAGATCTCTGTCTGTTTCTGGAGATTCCTACCAATTCACAGGCCTTGATTTTCACCCATATGCATTCTCAGAAACAAGGTCCAGTGACAAGGAGGGACAAGGAGACCCACAGCACCCAAAGTACCCACACAACATGACATGGAAAACTCTCACCAAGGGAGAATGCCCACATCCATAATAGAGGGAGGAGGGGAAGGAGTAAGGTCGAGGAAATAGCTCCTGGAAACATTTCACTCAGGGTTGTCTGGTCTGGGCAGAGCGAGTATCGAGTATTGCTCCTGGGGATGTGTCTCAGGGGATCCTAGTGAGGTGAGGAAGGATTTGAAGACCTATGCCGACTTACACTTGGGAAACAGAGTTCCCTCTGTAAAAATTCAGAAGGCAGGGAGTGGTTTGGAAATCTAGGATTCCCTCTAGGGTAGGACCCGAGGTGGGTGGCTTTACTTACTGTGGTTGAATGCTGAGGGTTTGTGTTCTGTATGATCGTACTGGTCGCTTGCCCTAAATAAATATCAGACACTGTGACTGCCATTTCCAACCATAAGAACATTGTTCCCTTAATGAGGAAGGACACTTTCAGCTGATAACTTGTCAGTGTTCATTTACACCAGGGTTCATATGCTGCCTTTATTTTTAAGGACGTGTTTCTTCAATCTAACCACTACCCCTTCTAGTTTTCACTCTTTCCCATTTGCTAAATGTGCACATTTGTTGTTTTGGTGATGTGCCAATAAATTGATTTTTGACTCATAGAGACCCACGTGACAGAGGAGAATTGCCCCATCAGGTTTCCTAGGAAGAAGGAGAGACAGACTACTGCCAAAAATAATGGACTACTGAAATTCTTTTGAATAGCAGAGGAACACTGTCAGATAGCACTAGATATTGAAATACGATGAAGAGCATCAGAATATTGTCAGATATAGTGCTAGAAAATGACCTCTTTAGGTTGGAAGGAGACAGATTGGCATAGTGGCATCAGCAATGGGTTCAAGCGTAGCAACAATCGTGAGGTTGGCGCAGGACAGGGCAGTGTTTCATTCTGTTGTGCATAGGGTCGTTGTGAGTTGGTACCGATTCAACGGCACATAACAACAACAAAAGCAATCTTTTTGGAGGAAGACCACCGAATCCTTCTCGCTTGGAGCCACTGAGTGGTTTCTAATGGCCAAACTTTCAGGTACCAGTTTAGTACTAAACTGGTGACTCACCAGGTCCTGATCAACTGCTCTTGAGCTTTCATCTGCCATGAGACCTTTGCCACTTTGCTTTCCCAAAGGATAGATACTGCTGTTTTTGGTTTCTCTTAGACTCAGTTCCTGTTAAATCCCACCCTCTATCTGCTACTGAGGCCCACAGACCACCCAGCTCTATTTCTCTTGCTTTCACTTTCTCCTCTGTTTTCCTCTTGAGTTCTGATTTCCCTGGCAGTGGGACAGAAGTACATAATTGGCCATTTCCCCCCTTAAATACAAACAAGGATGGGAATAGCCATGTCCAAGAGACAGTGGGATACAGGGAGTACAAGTACCAGGGAGTGCAGTTTGTTAAGTACTGTCAAGTCGGTTCCGACTCATAGCGACCCTGCATAGAGTTTCCAAGGAGCACTTGGTGGGTTTGAACTGCTGATCTTGTGGTTCACAGTCTAGTGCTGACCCTATAGCGCCAAGACCACAGGAGATTAGTGCTGAAAAAGGAATTTAGAAAGGAGGAAGACGAGGCCCAGACCCAAGGCAGTGTCCTTTCCCTCTCCCAAGCAGAGCGGTTAGTTTTGGAGGAAGCAGAACAAGAGGTGAGGTATCATACCCTCTAGATTTTCTGTTAATCAGAAAGTACACCAGGGCTGCTATGAGAACCACTCCGGCCAGTACTCCTATCACGATGCCGGCAATGGCCCCCGCGGAGAGGCCAGAACTTTCTACATCTGTCAGGGGAACAAAAAAGCAGAAGGAAAGAAAATTAATTACCTTACAGTGGGGTGGCCCTGGGAAACAACTTTCAACTTGAAGTAGCTGCTTTTCATTCCATCAAGGAATGGGTTTTCATAGAAAGGTGGCTGAGAGGAGATTGGCACATTGCCAAGTCCTTGCACTTTCCTGCTGCCCCCCTCCCCCACTGTGTTCCTAGGAGGATGATCAATCTTGTTCCAATTCCATCCTGGCCCTTCTGCACTCAGACATTTTTGAGGCTTTGGAAATATGAGAAAGGCTGATTGGCGCTTGTGTTATTAGAACTTCCTTCTTGACGTTCTACGTCCTTGCAGTTAGATCTTTTGCTCAGTTCCCCAGGCATGGCAGTAGTGAAGATGATCTCTCAGATCTCCTGTGGTGGGTGGGCACTTCCTTGACTGAAGAGACTGGCCAAAGCACTCTGAAGGCACCACTGTGTCTACACTGAGACCACGATTCCCACAGGCTCCCAGTGGGGGTATGACACCAGGTCCTCTCTGGGAGAGTTTCCTCTGATAGGTGTCTGATGTGGGGACCCCCTGGTGGCTTTGTGGAAATGCTCTTAGAACTACAGAGCGACTTAACACCTCTTTCCCTTCCTCCTTCACAATGGCCAGAACCCACCCCACCCAGCACTCTATCAGGCTCCTCCTGTCCTGGCCCAATCTCCCTCCTGGCATTTTCCCTAATAAATATCTTGTTTGTCTAATGGCATCCTCTAGGCTACTTGGAACGAAATGAACACACCAGACTTGAAAATTTGCACTTAACTCTTTTTTCTTTTCTTTTCTAGCATGTATCTTCTCTCTTTCCATTAAATTTCCAATGTTGATATTGAATGTATAATAGTCAAACTGTTTACAAGAGGCACAATTTTAGTCATATAATTTCTGTATCCAGACTGGTTTGAACCTCAAGGTCAGCAGTTCGAACCCACTAGCCTCTCCTAGGAAACCCTATACAGGGTTGCTATGAGTCTGAACCAATTCGATGAGACTTAACAACAACAGTGGAAACAATGTGATGGCTGGATACCTGGTGTGTGGGGCTATAGGATCAGCTCTGGACTGTGAACCATAAGATCTGCGGTTCAATGCCACTGGCTGCTCCTGGGGAGAATGAGGAAGCTCTCTGCCCCCGAAAAGTTGTACAGCCTCAGAAATCCTATATAGGGTTATTATGAATCAGAATTGACTTGATGTCACTTAACAACAGTAACAACATATATACATATGTACATGGTATGGTGTGCCATTCCTGAGACCTGTAAGATCAAAGCAGACCCAATTTTTTTCCTACTCTGAGTATATTAAACATTTGAAAGAAAACTGTTGTTTTTGTTGTTGTTAATTTGCCATCGAATTGGTTATGACTCATCGCAACCCTGTATAGAGTTTCTGAGGAGCGGGTGGTGGGTTCGAATCTCCAACCTTGCGGTCCAGTGCATTACCCTGCAGTGCCACACCAAGACTCCATATGTCATTGGACTCTTACAGTCATCCTGTCACACACACATCATTCCCATTTTGCAGATGAAAAAGTGAGACTTTATTAAGAGTGGTGAAAAAAACCTTACCCAAAGTCTTAAGGCTAATAGGAGGTAGATCTGGGATTTGACTCTAAGACTACCTGACTTTTAGACGGACGGTAAAAAGCTACACTAATAAGAGGCAACATTTATGGGATATTTTCTATGTGTGTGGCATTGTGCTAAGGGTTGAATCCTATGATCACATTAAACCTTAAACACTGTCTTGTGAAGCAGGTGCTCTTAGAGCGATTTTCAGTTGAGCAAACTTAGGCTCAGAGAACTGAAGAATCTTGCTCAAGTTTACATAGTGGATAGATATCACAACCGGGATAAGAAACTTACAAAGATCTTTGTTTCAGAGCTTGAGCTCTTGGCCACTTTACCGTTGTGGACTGCAATCATCTCTTAACTGATACTCTGCCCGCTGTGATAGCTATCCATTTTGTACATTATTGATAGAGCTAATCTAACCTGAGAAGACATAGGAGAGGAAGGAGCGCTACTTACATGTTACAGTCAAGATGAGGGGTTCACTTTTGCGGTAACTGACTGGGTTGAAGACCTCACACTGATAATCCCCATTATCATTCCTTTCCACGAGGTTGATGGTGAGGGTGCGGTTGTCCTGGGACAGCTTCTTATTATTCCCGAGCCGTAGGATTTGTCCATTGTGGAACCATCTGATGGAAATTTCCTTGTGTTTGGTGTCACACGTCAGGACCACAGGGCCTGTATTTTCTGCGACTGTGACGTTGCTGGCTTTGATGGTGGGCATTGTCAGCTGCTCTGTGGGAAAATAGAGGAGATGACTGTGAGAGGGGGCCTGGGACCGTGGATGTGCTTCCTGGGAGACGGCAGCCAGCTAGCAGACCCCACAGAGGCTGCTCCTGACCCTCTACAGAGATCCTATGTCTGTCCAGATGCTGAAGTGTGAGCACAGGCTGGCCCCTCCCCTCACAAGGCCCTGATTCTGAGGCATCAGAATCAAGACTTCTTCCTAGTCCACCCATCCATCAGTCTTGCCATCAGGTGGAATTTTTCACCTCTTGTGGAGTCCTGGTGTAGCACTGTGGGTTAATGCGCTGAATTGCAAGGTTGGTGTGAACTGCAAGGTTGGTGGTTCAAGCTCATCAGCCACTCCTTGGAAATCCTACACAGCAGGGTCACTATAATTCAGAAATGACTCGACAGCACTTCACAACAACAACAGATGTTTTTGTGACCCTTTCCTAGGATCTCCAGTGACTTTGGAAGTGACCAGGTCCCTCTGTGATAGACAGTTCTCTGTGTGTAGGGAAGCCAGGTTGCTGGGCAGGGCCGCTTAGCATACACATGGAAGGTGTTCTTTTTGTTAATCAGTGTATTAGGGAATAAGCACAGCTGGGTCCACCCTTCACTGTCTTAGAAATGAGAGAGTTTCCAATCTAAAGGATTTCTTCATCTGAAAAGGGTTTTGATTCCAGTCTATGGATTGAATATCAGGTGAAAGAAACCGCAGAGAGAAGGGGTTATGGTTTTGACAAAGAGCTAATGGTATTCTTAGCCCTCTCTACAAACTACAGTGAAACCTGGGAGAACCGGACCTCAATGGAACTGCCTTGTTTTGGGGGGTCTCACCAGTATTCTATAGCTCTTTGTGAGTCACAGACTGATTTTCACCTTACCCAGGTTCCTGCTTTCACAGATTTGACTTCACATACATTTTGACTTTGCCCCTTCTTTCCCATCCAGAGACTCCATGGCTAAGTCTACTTAGGTTTTCAAGTAGGGTTCATGATACACGGTTCATCTTTGTGTTATCACACAACACACACAACTGTGGCTTTCAAGCCAGAACACAGGTTCACATGCGTTGACCCCAAAGCTGGCACTTCCCTCATTTTCCTGTTGTCTCATCTGGTGGGGTTGTGGCTTCGAGATGGGATGAACTTTTTAACATGCTTCGCACTCCCCAGTTCTACCCCAGATGGTGTCAGAACAGGGTTAGTGTGTGAGAGGTAGGCAGCAGAGCTCCTTTGTGCTCTTCACCCCATTGTGGGGTTATATCATCCTCTGGGAGCGTAGTGGTTACGAATTGGGCTGCTAACCTCAGGGTCAGCAGTTCAAAACTACCAGCCCTTCCATGGGAGAAAGATAAGGCTTTCTGCTCCCGTAAAGATTTACAGCTTCGGAAACATTATACAGGGTCACTATGAGTCGGAACCGACTCCTCAGCACACCACCACCACCATCCTCTCAGGAGTCCTGGTGTGGCACCATAGGATAAACACTCAACCACAAGGTCGGTTTGAGCCGCAAAGTTGGTGGTTCAAACCCACCAGCCGCTCCTCGGAAACCCTATACAGGCTCGCTATGAATCAGAATCCACTCCACAGCACTGAACAACAACAACCATCCTCCTCTCATTTCAGAAAACGAATGAGCCTACTCAAAGCTTTGCATCTCCCTCGTACAGAAATGGACATGTTAGTACAGAGAAGTTGACTCTGAAGACACTTCCCATACCATGAAGTCCTCTCCCTCTCCACAAGGCTGTCTGGGGCTGAGCGAGTCTCCTGCCCACACAGCAGGCTAGACCCAAGGTCTGCCCTGAGAACCAAGAGCAGGAAGATGGAACCGTCTCGAGGCTTGTAGCAGGAGGACTCAGGGACAGACTCTGAGATTTTTTTTTCTCCAGAAAACCAACCTCCACTTCAGAGTCCAGCGCTGAAGTTCCAAGATGCCACTTACCAAAGACTGTGATATTGGTGACTGTGGTCCTGTTGAGGCCAGTGGCATTGTTAGAGACATGACAAGTATAGCTTCCAGTGTCATTTACAGTGACTTTGGAGATAACGAGCTGCTGGGTGAATTGCTGGTTGCTCCCATTGATAAGCCAAGAATACTGTGCAGGTGGGTTAGAGGCAGCATAGCAGGTGAGGTTGAGGGTTTCCCCAGGAGTGTAATACAAGTCTGAGGGGGAAATGGTGGGAGTGTCTGGGCCATCTGGAGCAAACAGAATAAAGCCATGATGTGATGTAACCAGAGCGACAGAGTACTGGCCTGATGGGGGCCATAGCATCCCACCAGCCCCACACCATAAATCCCCTTCATTCTCTGAGCACGATTCTGAGGCAGTTGATCCAAGTATTAAACCCTGAGCATGTCAACACAGGGGTAGCCCCCGCTCCCTTCCTTGTCTGGCTGCATGGTTGGGCTTGCCCAGATTTACCAGAGAAAAGTTGTCATGGCCGGCCTAGATGTCAGGGACTGAGGGTCCATGTACTTGGACCTGAGAGGACTGATGTGGCCTGGCTTCTAATAGTGTGGACTTGGGATCAAAGTTACTCACAGAGAACATTCAGGGTGAACGGGCCACTACGGCGGGCACTCACTGGGTTCCAGGTTTTACATTCATAGAGTCCCGATTCATTCCTTGTGACTTTGTTTATAGTGAGGGTTCTGTTGTCCATGGACAGCTCCACCCTGGTACTGTCTGGGAGGCTCTGATTGTTTCTCAACCACACGTAGGTTGTGTCCTGAGTCTCTGGTTCACATTTCAAAGTTACAAGGTCCTTGTTCTCCACAGGGTTGGAGTTGTTGCTGATGATGAAGGGTATGGATAGCTCCTCTATCAGATAAAACAGAGAGATTAGCCCACTTGGTACCTTTGATTCCTGCAAAGGCATCTTTCAATCAGAGTTGGCATTGTATACCTCTCAGCCAACTTGGACTCTTTAAAATATGAAACAGATCTTTATATTATAAGATAAATTCCTGACAATCTGAGTGCTCAGGGAATGCAAGGTCTACTGTTAATCTATCTCTGGGAAAATACACAGACGTCCTCAGATGTTAATTAAAAGCAGCCTTTGGTCATGGAAAGCCAGAGGACTGGAGAACAGAGATCACCCGGCCTCTCTTGGGCTCTTCGCTGATCAGCTGACTACTTGGTTGACCTCAGTTTCCTAATTCGTGCTTGCTGAGGTCCTATGAGCTGCACAGTTCTACATTGTCTAAGCCAGTTGTGTTTAAAGATATCCTAGATGCGAGTAACGACGAGACTTCTAATTATCCTTAAACCTGAGGCTGTGGGACAGCCTGGTCTGGAGATTGGGTGTCGTGGGCAGAAGTGATACAGGGAGAACAGGAGCAAGTTCAGTGATTTTTCTAGTGGTCAGGCCATGGGGCCATAAAATGGGGCAGCTCTTCCTGGTGACTGTCGGTGACTAACAAGGGCAGTAACAAGGGCAGAGCTGAGCTCAAAGAACCATCTAGAAAAGAGTGAAGGGTCTAGTCGGAAGTTGGCAGACTTTGGAAATGAAACTGTTCTCTTGCCCTTGTCTCTTCCCTCAAGGCCAAGGGTAGGTGAGACCCTGTTTATCTTCTACTGGGGAAAAGTGGTGATAGCCTGAGCCTGCTGAGGGTCTGCCTTTCATGGACCATCGGTGTGTAGTAGATTTGGATATCAATTTGACTAAATTTCTTCCATATGTAAAAATTATTATTCATGACTCAGAGATCCAACATCAGTTGCTGACAGGAATATTTCTATATAGAGAATCCTAGAAAATCTTAGGCCAAACTCTGAGGTCCACAGTTGGATCATGGGAAGATACTGACGTCTGTCTGAAATCAAGAACTCCCTGGGTGGGGAGAAACAGGTGATCCTCTTCAGGGGACACACAATTGATGAGAGGGGAATTCTGTAGTATCTTGATATAAAAGGAGAAAAGACATCAAATTAGTAGAAATTGTGTTTTAGTCAATTTATATGTTGGTCAATTTAGAAAAAAGGTTCCTGTCATGAATTCCTGGTGGAGAGTCAGGCAGAGTAGGCAGGCGTCTCTACAGAGGCATGCAGAATACTTTCTTTCCCTTCTTTAGACCGCATGAATGATACCACAACTAGACAACAACAACAAAAACAAATAGAGTGTGATGAAATCGGTCCACTCTGTCTGGTTGATGTCTTGACCAACCTCAGATTCCTCCCCTGGAAACTGCACGTACTGATGTCCCTCCAACTGCACCACTCTACGTTGCCCGGCCCAGCTGTATTATCTCTGAGGCCTCCCTTTTAAAAGTTATCCTACAGATGGTTAAGGATGATAGGTCTTCTCATTTATCCTTCAAGCTAGTGAGATGGGGAAGAAGTACAGCCAGAGTGTTCCTTGGAGGCTAGGATGGCTAGGCTTTGTCTCTCATACTTCAGACATATTGTCAGGAGGGACCAGTCCCTGGAGAAGGACATTATGTTTGGTAAAGTGGAGGGTTGGAGAAAGAGAGGAAGACCCACCCCCCACGAAATGGATTGGCACAATGGCAGCGGCGATGGGCACAAATGTAGCAACGATTGTGAGGTTGGTGCAGGACCAGGCGATGTTTTGTTCTGTCGTGCATAGGGTTGCTATGAGTTAGTACTGACTCAATGGCAGCTAACCACAACAACAAGGAGATGGAGTAGCCTGGCCTGGCGACTGAGTGTCATGAACAACACTCAGGGAGATCAGAAGCAAGCCTGGAGATTAGCCACAGTGACAGTCAACATACACCTGGAGTGGACCAGTGTAAAGAGTGAATCAAGAAGGGTGCGCCAATCCTGCAGGCCTGTCCCACGTGTTGGCATCACTAAGTAGGGACACAGTGGAAACTTGCTCTTCTGGTGACTTGGGTCTTCAGCTCCTTGGAGGAGCTGCTACTTAGACTGATACCTTTGTTTTTTACTATTGCCTGGAAGGGCAAGCCTGGCCACAGGGTTGATGGAAGAGAACAGAACAGTCAGCTGTTAGCAGAAGTCTCTGGGGGAGGGTTAAAAGGTGGCGGAAGCTGTGTAGTGCTGGGCAGTCCCAGCTGGAATGTAGGAGGAGGAAAGTGAGGTGTAGGGAAGGAGCAGACGGAACCAGAAATGCCTGTGGCAGGGATCAGTGGGGGACAAGTGATTTCATAGCCTGGACGTCCAAGAGCCCCTATGCAGCCCACAAGTGGGACCAGAGTCACCATGAGACTGGCATCTGAGGCAGCTTTAGGAACAGGAAGTCAGAGGGAGTACATGAATAATTTATTTTAAAAGGATCAGCACAAAGCTGGTTCCAATGAGGCGGAAGTTAGAAATCTCCCAGATGTGCAGTTTCTCTAAGCTGCTGTACCACTCCATCATCTTTCACATCGACGATGCCTCCTCCCCTCAGTCCACTCTTTCCTGTCTTTGGATTTTGTAGTTGGCTGTCCTGTCTCACAGAACTCATGACCCCTTAAAGAAACGGATCCTGCAGTTTGTGGAAGCTGGCGAGTCACAGATCTGTGGATCAGATACCAGGGTGGAGGTTTCTCCTGACTTTCATGGAAATCAAGGCCTGACAAACTTAAATCAGTGGACCAGGTGATAGATTGCTGCTTCAAGTTCCAAAATCTGGGGGTCAGGTGATGATGAACTGGATGCAGGATCCAGAGTAAGAAGGAGAACTTTGCTGAACATTCATATAGATAGGATGCAACATATACCCTCAAGGAAACTCCCCTTACTGGACCAAGGCACTGCAAGGACGTGAAGGGTGGTAACTAGGGTAGAGGTGGTGACTTGAGTCATTCTTGCTAGCAAGGTGGTGACTAAAAACCCACTAGCAAGGTGGTGACTAAAAATACAGTCTACTTTAATACTGCCTCATTAACATAATGGATTACTAACGTCCAAATGTGACCATAACCACAGGCATAGAGACATATTACAAACGGAGGTGACGACAGCGTTACATAACTGCCAAGTTACATAATTATATAACTGACAAACCTTAGCTATCACCAGCTCCATACACTTTATTTGCATTAGCAGCAAGCTGTCCAATCCCCTTTGTGGGCCACAACTACCTTATTTGCCTAACCCCACCCAGTCACTGTATGGGAATCACAGATTATGGCTGGAAGGACTCTGTTGAATAACTCATTGCACCACAAGGAGGGAGCATGAGCCTCAGTTATGGAGGCTCAGTGGGCTAGGGTAAAGAGCAACGTGGGAGTGTAAATTTAGGGTCTAGTCTCTGAAGAGATTTTAAACCATTCATTCCTAGATTCACCATTCCCCCTGCTTTTTTATTGGCTCTGTTGCAGAGAGTGCAGTGGGGAGTGAGAAACCAAAGTCCTTTATGCTCCACACACACAGAGCACATCAATAAAACAAACACATCAATGATTTCACTCCAGTGCAGGGAGCGTGTGGATCAGCTGCTCTGGGTGGGAACCTGAACAGGCCTGTCACTGACTGATTGTTGAAGTAAGTAATTTCGTTATGGAGTAAAACCAGAATAATTAAATTATTCATTGGCTCTGACATTCTCCCACCCCCTGAGCAAAGTCTCAATTGGGGATGTCTTACGAAGAACCAGTGGCTGCTCTCAGGGTCCACACTTCTAATAAGGTCACTCCAGATGAAAGGACTTCTGGTGTGGTGTTGTAGGATCAGCACTGGACTGCAAACCACAAGGTCGACAGTTCAAGCCTACCAACTGCTCCTTGGAAGTCCTCTCCAGGGTTGCTATGAGTCAGAACCAACTTGATGGCATTTAACAACAACAGCAAGTTGGAAGACGGGTCAGGGTTGTAGCTGCAGACAGACCTTGGTGTGAAACTGATCTCCGGTCATGATCTGTGTGACTCTGATTCAGTATTTTTCCTCTCCATGCCTCAGTTTTCCCTCAGTGAGATCAGAGAAAGGATGGATTGTATCTGGCTTGCAAGACTGTCTGAATTAACCGTGAAATATTCACAATTACCTGACTGCAGTTGGGTATAGAGGAGCTGCCCAAATTGCCAAATGACATCTATGGTTACCCCAACAGGAAACTCCCTCAGATGGAAAAGAACTGTCTGTAGCATCTTCTCCCCTTTTCCTTTCTCCTGAGGATGCTGACCTCCCATTGCTATTGTTGTTGTTAGGTGCTGTTGAGTTGGTTCTGACTCATAGTGACCCTGTATAGCGTTTCTAAGGAGTGACTGGTGAGTTTGAACTGTCAACCTTGCGGTTCAAACCGACCTTGTGGTGCAGTACTTTATCCTTCAGCGCCAGATCTCCCACAGAGCCTTCTAAATCTCTCAGGGCAGTCAGATAATGGCCCAAGACTCTTTTTGATCTGTGGTCTCCAGACTGAGTCTCAGGTGAAGGACTCTGCTTAGTCACTGCCAGAAGATTTCTTAGAGCTGAGCCTGGGCCCAAATCCCAATCAGCCCTGTCAAGGAAGCTAATTCCCAACCCTCAGGGTCACTTGGACAGGGACTAGGGAAGGGACGACCGGGGATTGAGCTTGTTTGTGAGGACCCCAGGAGTCACGAAGTGGTCCAGGGGGGTGCAGTGGTCTGAGTCTTCTCTTCCTGTTGAACTACTTCCCCTCAGACTTTCCTTTTTGTAGCAAAAGTCTGCAGCATCTGGATTCAAGAAGGGAATTCTGACCTAAAAACTCAAACCCCAAGAACGTAATACAGTGGGGGTTATGCACAGAAAAGGGTCCAGGCCTGTCAACCCTTACCTGTAAAGTAGAATTAACCTACCCCACACCCAGATGTCAGAAGGGAATTACTCACTGTATACATGGAACTGTACAGCAGATTTCTCAAGCAGACCAGTTGTCTTTGTTATT